ATCGCCGTGGTGGGGGCCAGCGGTGTGGGCAAGACCGGTGAGTCCGTGCCCTGACCGAGCCCTCTTAGTTGCGGGCCAGTCGGTGAGACCTCCGGGGATTCTCCGTTAAGGAGGCTTGGGGAGTGCGGCCGGGCCTCGGAGCCGGGCTCCCGGGTGGGACCTGAGTCCCCTTCGCCCGCGCCCCTGTGTGCACAGGCGAGGGTAACCCGGACACAGCTTGGTCAGGACGCCCTAACGCCACTGGAGCCCGGACTTTGGGGGTCTGAGCGTCTGGCAGTGTCTGGAATGGGAAGGGATTTAGTGAACGTAAACCTTCCCAGAGGTCAGCAAGCCTGGGGAGACACTGCTGCAAGTGTGGCCCAGTGAGCGAGCAGGAAAGGGTGCGCAACAAGACCCTCCGCTGGCCTGGCACAGCTGTAGTTCATCAGGCCTGCTATCCCTCACTGTGCCCGGAGAAGGGTCAAGAAGCTGCGGGGTAGGAATTTCCTTGGTGGCTTTCTCCCAGAGAGTTGTGTTCCAGAGGTGAGGGGGAGACGCATCTAACTTCCAGGGTTGAGTCTCCTTCCTTTCTGTTTTCTGCCCTGCAGCTCTGGTGGTCCGGTTCCTCACCAAGCGATTCATCGGAGACTATGAAAGAAATGCAGGTGAGAGAGTGAGAGGAGGAAAGAGCTGTCAGGAGAACCGCCGTGCCGTTTTTCAGAGCCTTCCTGGCAGGTTCCTTCACAGTGACAGTCTGAACATCAGAATCCTGCCACTTCCTACTCTTCGTGCCCCTCCATCCACCCGTCCCCCAGCTGCTATCTGGCCTCATTCCATTCCAGGCCCATTCATCATTTTATCAAGTGCCTGAAAGTATTCCCCTTGGTATGTTTTAACTATAGGCACCTCAGTTGGAAGCACCCTTTGTACTCCAGGGCCTCTCCCTTCAAAACACTCCTGCAGAAGTCATAAAAAAACTCTGGCGAGCTCCTCCCCCACCCCTCTCCCTCTGCTGGCTGCTTTTCAGAGGGGACCTTTTAAAGCAAAGGCCAAGGAGAACAGTTATAAACCTAAAGTTCTCTTTTTCTAACAAAGAAAAATAACTAAATGGTAGAATTTTAGGAGGTTCCTGAATAAATGAGAGGACAGTCCCTGTGGTTAAGAATAGCCACTGGAGGCTTATGGGCTTTCTCCCTATGCTTTGTTAGTAGATTGCTTCACTCTATACCCGGATGACGTGCCCACGGGGGAGTCTCTGAGATGAGTTATACAAGCCTTCCCAAGGAAGGACATGCTAGCCCTCTGATGTAGCTAATTATCATGTCATGTTTTTATTCTAGCTGATGATGTGAGCTGTGCTTTTACTAACCATATTTGCCAACCAAGGCATATCTAGTGGCCAAAATATAAATTTAGGATCAAAGAATCATAATATACTAAAATAAAACAAATTCCACACATGCTAAAGTAAGAAAATTTGCTTCAAGGAAATAGTCTAAACATGGAAGCTTCGTTTAAAATCAAAGTTTTCAAAAACTCACAAACTTTGCTCTGCTTTTAATAAACCAACTAAACATGGGGCTAAAATCTCAGTTGGCCTTAGAAACATTTTAAAAATAATCCCACTAAGTAGAAAAAAAAACTATATCTTTTTGTACATCTGTTCAGGATACATTTTTTTTTTCTAAATAAACTCACAGTGTTGTAAAAGTCACATGAAGGAAAAGTGTAATCTTTTCTCTTTGCCCCCATAGGTAATCTCTACACCAGACAAGTCCAGATAGAAGGTGAAACCCTGGCAATACAAGTTCAGGACACTCCAGGTATTCAGGTGAGAAGCTTGGCGGCTGGGCCTGGGTCAGGTGGGAGCCTTGCTGAATGTGAAATGCTTCATTTGTTCTCAAAGTAGCTTTTGTTAAAAGAGGAGATTTGGGGAGTGAGGACTAGAAACATATTGTTTGACACTTCAGTTGCATCTGGCTGTTGGTCAGTCTTAGCCTGGCTCCATTTGGGAGATTTGGCTAAGGGGCAGAGTCTTTCTGTTAGGAGTATTCAGCACAGCAGGAAAGACCAAACTGAACACTTGGAGTTGGCAAAGTTACTTTACTATCATTAAAAAGATCAGTTTTTACATACATGTCTTTGGCATTAAAAACCAAATACTGAGATATAGTTTCAAATACTTTGAATCACTTTTATGTTGTGGAAAGTTACTCTATAGACAAAAGAGCCATGTTAGTGGTTTTTTTCCCCCTTCCAAACTGGGCAGTTATCCAGGTTTAAATGCTTCCAGCTCCTATCTTTACTTCCCCAGACTTACTGTCTAGCCAGTTAATTTCCCATTTTGTGCAACTACAAAGTCTCTCTGCATGGAGTTCTCTGCAGGTCAATTTTCCACTTGAGTGTGGTGAGCTGCACTGTTATTTATTCCAACTCTGTGCAGCTGGATCAACATATTGTCAAGAAAGTTGAAGTGTGTGAGGATATAACGTGTTTATGACTTGCAACCCAGCCTTACTGTGAAGGGCTCTTTTGAATTTGGTATCCAAGCAAGCCAGTGCTCTTTGTGGCACTCACCATTCACCTTGCCCTCACCTCTCTCTTTCAGGTCCATGAAAATGGCTTGAGCTGCAATGAACAGTTAAATCGGTGCATCCGGTGGGCAGATGCTGTGGTGATTGTTTTTTCCATCACTGACCACAAGAGCTATGAACTCATTGGCCAGCTCCACCAGCATGTCCAGCGGCTCCACCTGGGCACCCGGCTGCCCATGGTGCTCGTGGCTAACAAAGCTGACCTGTTGCACATCAAGCAGGTTGACCCTCAGCTTGGACTGCAGCTGGCCAGCATGCTAGGCTGCTCCTTCTATGAAGTGTCTGTCAGTGAAAATTACAATGATGTCTATAACGCTTTCCATGTCCTGTGTAAAGAAGTAAGTCACAAACAGCAGCCCAGCAGCACGCCTGAGAAGCGAAGAACCTCTCTCATTCCTCGGCCCAAGTCGCCCAACATGCAGGATCTGAAAAGAAGGTTCAAGCAAGCTCTCTCTGCCAAAGTGAGGACTGTCACCTCTGTTTGAAATGTGAGCGCTTGGGGGTTTGGTCTTTGAGGAAGAGGCCCAGAGGCGCCTCTAGGTTGGGAACATTGGATGCTGGCGGTAGTTCATGGTTCCAGAAAGGGCCGGAGCAGAAGGGCCCAGGGGCCTGTGGAACTGCTGCAGAAGAGGAAGTGCTGTGTGGAGCAGGGGAACAGATGGATGGGGCCTGAGAGAGCCCATCAAGCCACTGTGTACCTGTGATGTGTCTGTGTCTTGTCCTTAGAGTGGGGAAGAAGGTGGATGTGTTTTGGTTTTTGTTCTTAACTGCCTTGTAAATGATGGTCAGCTGTAGTTTCAATCAGATATATTGGAATGGTTTATGGTGAGAATGAAAGAGCAGATTAAGTATTCGTAGGCTTCCCTTTCTCCCCTCCCTTTTCTTTGTTTTCTCCCCCAAAGGAAGAATTAATTTTTTCTTATTGACATGATTTGCATCTGTAGAAAACTTCCTTACAGAATACCTTTCTAGCCTGAAGGATACCAAGATTTCTTTCTTTTTTTTTTTTTTTTTAAGAACAAGAAGGAAAATATCTCCCTCTGCTCAAAAGGACTCAAGTTTATGGGCCAAAATATTCTGTATACAGACAGCTATGAACTGTGGTCTGCAGGAGGCACTGGTGCACCTGACGCAGGATGGGGTGCTTAGTTGGACACATATTGAACAGCTGGGAATTCAGACTTTTCAACCTCAGACTAATTGTAAGACTGTATAGTTCCTTGATTGTTTGTTTGTTTGTTTGTTTGTTTTTAACTGTTGGACCAGGTACAGAAAAAAGTGTCAATTGATTTTGGTGTGATTTGTGTAAATGGCTTGTGACAATGATGTTGGGTTGCTTCCTAGGCCTGGCTGAGTCATGTCAATGGGTGGCTAAAATACAAGAACACTATCTTACAGAGTGTCTAGATGCAGGGGCTACCTGCCAAATCCCCTACATGGATGCACTTTAAAAAGCCACTCGTGCTTTGGCTTGAACTGTAATTAATTTATTTTACGTACAATAAATCTCATTTTAAAAGAGCAGACATCTGACATGGTCTTCATTGGAATGTTAACCTTCAATCTTTCAGAGAAAACATGACTTAGCAGGGCTGGGTGGCCTGCCTTGTAAGCGCAAGGACCCGAGTTCGATCCCTGGTACCCCCCCGCCAAAAAAAAACAACATGACTTAGCGTCTCATGGTGTACATTGAGTCAGGCGTTATACCTTCCAGGGATTATTTAAGCCTCAGAACAAACCAGTGAGATACATTTTACTATCCGTGTTTTGCAGATGGTGAAGTAAGCTCAGAGAAGAACAGGTTAACTTGTAAGAGCACAACCTGTGAGTGTGGTGTATTACAGTTTGCTGCTTTATATTCAAGAGTAACATAATTCCTACTCTATTTCCTTCATGATCCTCTAGATAAATCTAAGACAAATGTTTGATTAAACACATCTTTCAGCAAAGCCTTGAGGGTATTAATGCTTCTACACAAGATCAGTGCTTCTGTGTACATGATTAATTTGGTAAACCTGTTTGGGTGTATTGCTTTCCAAAATACACTTTTCTTCTCATGGTAAAAGCTCCAAGGCCGTTACTCGGTCACTCCTACAAGGGTGTGCACTCCCACTGCCAAGCCTCTCCCCTCCCATCTGGGCCTGAAAGGCCTCTCATGCATGCTGAGTCACCAGCTTTATGGGCAAATAATCACACCTTATGTTTGTTCTCGTAGTGCTTTCACATACCTAACCTTGTCTAATCCTGAGGATAACCCTGAGGAGGGTGGGGGAAGGTGACAGCGCCCTCTTACAGAGGAGAAAAACAAGTTTGAGTTTTGAGTGATGATCTCCTGCTCACACAAAGAACCTGAATCAATGTCTTCTGACTATTCTCCATGTTCATATTCCTTTACAACATTTCATAAGCACACATATAATACTGCTCACCTGTGTGGGGCCATGGGAAGCGGCCAACCTGCATAGCTATTGGGATTCTCTGTATGGTATGGGTTCAGGGTCAAATCTTTTCCCAGCCAGGGATTTGGCTCAGTGGCACTGTGCCTGCCTAGCAAGCACAAGGTCCTCCATTCCATCACTCATGTGGAGTGTGTGGGAGGGGATACAATCTTTTTCCAGGATGTAACTGATGCTCTGATAAGGCTCATAGTAGGGCAAATTTCTACACTTGGAGCCTACCTGTGCCTTGGAGAAGGGTGTATGTGTTGAGGGCAGGGAGAGGAATGGTATCAATAGGAGACACTAACCTCAATGTGGGCAGGGACTAGACTAGACACTACTCACTGGTTTTCCTCTTATGTAGTTGTGTTTACAATGCCATGAATGAGACTTACCCATGGTTTCTCACCTGTTTACCCTAAAGAAGTGAAGAGGTTTCCTGTGCCCAGCTTTTTGCAGCAAAGTGCTGAGCAACACCCACTTTCTCTTCTGTGGCTCTGTGCCTGTGCAGACCTCCTAAGGGGGTCTCCTGCTCTGGGCTGGGTGTGCACCGCACCTTCCTACCTCCTGGCCTCTGGCTCTAACCATTGCCCCTTAGCCCCTCACCCCTGCACAGGACAAAGCCCCAGCTGAAAACTGAGCAAGTCCTGGTTCCTTCCAGTGTCTCAGGCTGACATAAGTGTTTATAGTTCTGCAATGCACCCTCTTTTCTTTTCTTTATGTGAAGTTGGCTTCGTTTTATTATTTTTCTCATCTCTTTCATTATTAGTATCTCTATTTAATCTTCTCTCCTTTTAAAAATTTCTAAACTACAGTTCCCTGCCCCTGAGAAACAGCCCTCTCCTTCCTTGGTAGGTGATACCTCTTGTGTCCCTTGGCAAGGGAAGGCAGGGATGTGCATGTGTCTGGGGCGGGGGCGGAAGCAGTAGGAAAGGGGAAAGGATTTGAATTTTGTCTCAACTTTTACATCCTGCCAGATTATAAACATTCCCCTTGAATCTTCTGAATCCTGAGGAAGGTGACAAAATTTCCACTGTAAGGATGAGGAAACTGAAGCTCATGGATTATAACCTGCTTAGGACCACAAAGACAGTATGATGATAGCTTTTACTATATTTACTGAAAACCTATGTGCTGGGCAGCTTTGGGGGAGGATTTGAAATAATGAACATTTCCCACAACTCTCCCATCCATCTTTAGTATTCTACAGAAAAGGAAAAGGAGGCTCAGAAGAAAGAAGCAGCTGGCCCAACTCTGAAGTAACAGATCTGGGTCTCTACCCCAGGTCTTCCTGAAGACACAGCCTAAACTCTGGCGATGGCCTGCGGGTCCCAGCTCCTCGGAGAGACACCCCTTCTACTGACCTACCCTCCCAGTCCTGGCCCTAGTTCCTGGCCTGCATCTCCCATCTCCTGTCTGCTACTGGCTCAGGCTCCTCCCTGGCCCTTGGCTCCCCTCACAGCTAGGCCACATCTGCTGTAGCCATCAGCCTGCTGCTGCTGGCCTCCAGCCCCACTCTGGAATAAAGACATCCAGGCAGGGTGGGGTGACTGCCAGTCTGTCTTAGAACCAACCAGACTCATGTCTGTCATGCAGTCTGGCTTTTCGAGTTTGCTTCAAATCAAAACCACTCTCAGCCCTCTGCAGCCTGCCAGACCCTGTTGTGCAGTCACAGGGATGGCGGAAACTCCTGCTCTCATTGTGCCCACATGGATAAGCCACTGCAGTCTTCTACTCTCTGAACCCTCAGGTTTAGAAGTTATGGGTGCATTTCCAGAGACACCCGTGTTTAGGGGAAAAATGGGATTTCAACATTAATCTTATACCCCAAGAGGGGAAAAACAAACCTATGTTCTGGGCAAATGAACAAGCTTGTGGGCAAATTCCCACAAAGGAGCAGTTGGGAAACTGTGATCCTGCCCTGGCTGAGGGGAAATGGGAATGGTCAGGCAGTCTCTGAAGAGAACTCAGGATAGGCCACACAGGGAACTACCCCAGAAAGATTCACAGAGCTTGCCTGGTGTTAACAATGAACAATAACCCAGGATAGTCAGTGTTGCTGGCACTCCCTATAAAATCTAAAGAGAAAAGCTTCCAGAAAGTTCTTATTCTCATTACTCCTGAATTTGAGAAGTGAGCAGGATTAAGGTTCTGACTGATGGTGGCAAGACCCTAGCCATCCCTATGGCTCTTTTTCACATAGTCTGCAAATCCTTCACCATCTGGATTTGTCTTAAATTCCTTTTAAAATAGAACATTCTTGATGTGTCTTGGACCGGATGATAGACAACATTTGTAACACTGGATTATTTGTTGTTGAGATTCTGTTTCTAGTAACTAAGATAAAACAAATAATAGTGGTCTTAGGGGGCGCTTGATGGAATTCTTTGTTATTGAAATACCACTGTAATGAGGGGCAGAGGCATAAACAGAACTTATTTGCATAGGCCCTAGGCGGGTGGGGGGGCACTGGGCTGACCCACCCTGGAGCACTTCCACACACTTTGCTGTGCCCACTGTGTTTGCTGAGAAGAGGGCTGCAGAAAGGTTTACAAAAGAAGTCAACGGCTTCAAAGTATTTACACCTCCACTGATTGTGTTTATAAAAAGTGGCCTGTGAAGTCCTTGGCAAGAGATTTGCATGCATGTGCTTGTTTTGGCTTTGGCCAGCAACAGTTTAGATGATAAACATTCACACCCAGGCCTGAAAAAGGAGAGACTAGCACCAGCATGGGCCCTTTTATGTCACCTTCAGGTGACTGACGCAGGCTGGAGGGCTGGGAGTGTCCCTTTAGTATGGATACAACTGGGTAAGGCCGAAGTGCTAAATCAGGGTGCCAATCACAGAATCTGCATAGCAGCTTCCCAGCTAACATTAGTGATGGGAAAAGTTCTATTGGAGAGGAGGCCCTATGTGAGTAATCATCAAACATTTATTACCAATGGTAGTGACTCTTAGGTGCTAAGTGGTATATGCGCATCAGATATTTTAATTCTCAATGCAACCCAAAGAGGTAGGTCCTGTTGTTACCCAGTTTTGCAGTCAACTAAGATGAAGAACAGTGAACCACCATGTGGGAGAGAGGTAAGAGTGATGTAGCAGTCATCGGATTGGGCTCCAGACACTGCTCCCGACCTCTGTGTCAGACCATCTTAGAAGCGTGGTGGACCAAACCGGTCTCCGTTTTTCACATCCCCAGGATTGCCTCTCAACTTCCTCATCATCTCATATCATTCTCATGATATCCTATTAAAACTATTATCACTTTATCATTTTATGAAGTAATTTTATTGGTGTCCTCAACAGCAAAGACCCACATTTCTTAGGAGTCTTGCATTGGCCACTGTGTTGGGGGTGGCTAACCTTCCTGTGAGGTAGATCCATGATTATCTGGATTTTACAGACGTGGTCACTGGGGCTTGGAGTGATACATGGGGCCCCCATGCTAAGTGGAGAACTAGGCTTTAAACCCAGAGAGGGCTTCTGAGGCCTCTTCTGAGCACTGCTCCTTCACAGAGGTGAGGGTACTGGAGTTGGTTTCTTCTCTACCCCCTCCCTTGCCTAGGAAATGAGCGCATAACTGAGACAGTCCCAGAGAGGTCCCAGGAGGCTCTGTCATGAGGACAATGATCGGTTTCCTCCGTCCCCTCCTTTTGCTTATTTGTTGAAAGCTATCTGCAGGATTTATACCATGTTTCTATTACATTCCTGCTTTTTAAAAATCACAAATCTGTACTCTGTCCTGTGTTTCCTGCCTTCTTATTCCAAGCAAACTGACCACCAACTTCTTCCAGTTCATCTGGCTGCCTGGCTCAGTTTCCCTAATCATGACTAGAGAGATTGGAAAATGATGATTCTCAACCAAACGCGTGACATTTCGCTTCATCTCTCAGAGACCACCTGTGACTGTTTAGTGCAGGTCTGAAAGCACTTTCAGGACATAACTGCTTTGTGGTAACACAGTAACACAGTTATATCAGAGTAGAAACTTTTATTCTTTTATAAAATAAAAATGAGCTTTAAAAACTACAGTCACAAAAATAATATACAAATACATGTTTTCTGCAAAAAAAAAAAAATCAAAACAACACAGAACTATACACAGAGTAAGGTTCCTTTTCTCAGTCTTCCCATTTGATATTTATGCCCTGAGGTAAGCACTTAACAATTTTGTTTTCTATTTCCAGAAAGTTCTCTTTGCATGTGGACATATGGTTTATGGACAACTTAACCTCCAGAATATACTCACATAGGGCCAGACATGAGGAGAAGCACCGGCTGCTCATTCTGTGAGTGCCACAGACTCAGTGACCTGTCTGGCTCATACACAACTGTGACTCAGAACCTTGCAGAGTGCCTGGAATGTGCAACGCAGGCTCAACATTTGAGAACAAATGAATGAATGAGTGCAGATTTGAATCACATACCAGGTTTCTTTCAGCTTTTTTATTTTAGAAAATATTAATCTCTGCTTATCTTATAATTTATTTGGGGCTATTGCCATTTTCTTCCTCAAGCTAAGACTTTTATATTAGCAGGATTTTTTTAAAAAGGTGGATAGCGTGGTATTACATGCCTTCAATCCCACTACTTGGAAGGCTGAGGCAGGAGGATCATGAGTTTGAGGCCAGACTGAGCTACATAGTAAGACCCTGTCTCAAAAAACAAACAGACAAGCAAACAAACAAGCAAACAAGCAAACATCTGAGTTCTGTATTTCAGCACCATCAAAGAACTGGCATTAAGTAGAAAGCATCCCCGGGCAAGAAAATAAACATAACCATCCTGCTTTTAGTATGTCTCAGAATGATTTCCAACCCCATGTTTTGTTTTCCTTTCCCCATAAGATGAGTGTTTTGTAAAATCACACACTACGTATGTTGGTGTACATTTTATTTTCTCTACCTGTTTAATCTATGCTAGAAGCAGTTTTCAGTTTTATCTTCTTATTTCAAACATCTTTTAGAGATGCCAGAAATTTCCATTGACCACATAACAATAAATACCTGGGTTTCAAGATGTTCTTTTTCTTCTTTTTTCTCCTTAGAGTTCTCATATTATTTTACTAAGTAGATCTGGGTGTTTCTGCTATGATCAGAAGAAAAATGCAAACTTCCAGAAAGAAAGCTTTGTTTCAATAGGAACTTCAAATCCCAAAGGCCACAGGGAGTGGTGGACACAACTAGACTCCCTGGGCGGAGAGAGCTCCTATTGGAGGGGAGGAGACCTTCCACAGGCAGGCGCGGCCCTCCTATCAACCCTGCCCCGCTGTTCCGTGGAGCCTGGCAGCCCTGCCAGGGAGCACTCTGAACAAAGTGGCCTTTGTTAGGGCAGGATGATTTACAGCGCGTGCTGAGACCGGGCTGCCCCAGTGCCACCCCTCCCTTTTTTGCATGTTCAGAAATGCTTCAGATGAAGAGAGAAACAAAGCCTTAGACTCTTCTTACAATGTTCCTTCCTCAGTTATATACTTTAAGAAAAACCAAAGTTTCTGTATACTCATAATTCTAAAACATGTCTGTCTTTTCCTTGGCCAATGTCAAATCAAAAGATTTTTTGTCACCTATCAGCATTTGCCAATGGGCCTTTATTTAGATTTAATGAACCTAAGATATAATCAGGAGAATACAATGAAAGGTTACAGATAAATAGAAATTACCACTAATTAGGTCAGCTAAAGATCCTCTAGTAAATGAAAAGGCAAAGCAAAGCAAAACAAAACAAAAAACCCACAACACTTTTTTTGTACTGTGGATTGAACCTAGCGAGCACTGAGCTATATCCACAGGCTTTTTTATTTTTATTTTTTACTTTTATTTGGAATAAGATTTCACTCAGTTGCCCAGGCTAGGCTCAAAATTGTGATCCTCCTGCATCAGCCTCCCAAGTGGCTAGGATTATAGGCATGCACTATTTTTTATTTTTTATTTTTTAAAGAGCAATCTAAGTAAAGTACTTCATCACACAGTCATCAAGACCCTTTCTTCAGGATGCAGTCATACCCACAATGAGCTATAAAGATGCTGGTTGTGGAGGCATATCTGGAATGGAGAAAAACAATGGTATTGGTATTTCCAGCGTGGGCAGCTCTTATCATCTTAGCAGATGTCAGAAGCCAAGGTCTGGATGTAGGCGGTTTGTTGCAAATAGCAGCTCAGGAATGTTAAGTGGCTTCAGGAGTCTTGTGGACAGCACAATCACCTAACAGGAGGGCAAAATGATCACAGAAAGTTAGGGAAGTCCACTCCTGGTTATTTGATCCTAAGAAATAAAATGCAACAAATGTCTTTGGAGGGAGGCATGGAATGGAAGACCATGAAAAGAGAGGGTGACAGGTTGAAGGCAACCTGGTGCTGATGTCCTGCTGGAGGGGAGTGCACAGCTTGGGAAGCTGGGCCTGTGGAACAGCTGGACTGGTCTTCAAGACCTTTAAGGGAGGACTCGCTGAGAGTGATGTTGGATGCATTTGAAAGGCTGAGCCCAGCCACCCCTTGCTACTGCACTGAATAAGATCACACCCTGGTAGGCAGTAATTGGATCTTAGGCTCCTTTGAGGGAGCCTTTGTACACCTGTGCCAGGCATATCCCAGAGGTGGGTCTGGTACTTGGGACGGTGATTGCATTGGTTTCTCAGTACCACAAACTGAATATTTTGTACCACAGCAATTTACTGCCTCACAGTTCTGGAGACTTTAAGTCTAAGATCAAGGTGTTGGTGGAGGGGGTGGGGGTGAGGAGGTGGGGAGGTTCCTTCTAAAGGCTGTAAGGCAGACTGTTCTCTCCCTTGTTCTCACTTCCCTGCATCTTTGCACTGTCTTCCTCTGCCTATGTCCATTACTGTGTCCAGATTTCCCCCTTTTTCCAGGTACAGTCACACTAGATTAGAACCTATACTAATGACCTCTCCTATTTAACCAACTGCAAAGAGTATTTTCAAATAAGGTCACATTCACAGGTTTGGAGAGTGGGGGTCAGAATTTCAACATCTTTTGGGGGGCAGATGGACACAATTAAATCCATAATGATGATGACTGCATCTAGTATTTACTGATTCTTCTCATGAAGCAGGCTCTGAGGATTATATGTCATCTCCATTCAATCCTTATCACATGCCCTAATGAAATAGCTGCATTCATTATCTGTTTTGTAGATAAGGAAAACAAACTGAAGAAACGTTAAGTAACTTCCAGGAGGCATATAAATGGTTAAATCAGGAGCTGCTGTGGCCCTGCCTCCAAGGTCACGTGTCCATCACCAGGGCTCTTGGAGTGGCTGCTCAGCTCCTCTAGTCCATGTGGGCATTTGGGCCTCTGTGGTTGCTCATTGAGTGATGCTTCCAGCTCCCCTCAGCCTGGACCTTACTCGGGGGCAGATTTCTCTCTGCAGCACCGGGAGAGCTTGTTCTCAGGGCTGGACATGTGATATGATTTGTAAGGACTGGTGCGGTTTTTACACCAGCAGCTACTGTACAGCCCTTGTGTAGGAGGTGACTACGGGAAGTGGGGAAGGTAGGGCTAGAATTCGAGTTCCACAGTGTAACATCTGAGCCAGGGATTTCAAGGCCGGAGCTTGATTGGGCCTCAGCTGGACATACTAGTTGGCCATGCTTCTTTGGAGCGGTGCAAACTGTCCTCCCCTGCTGCCCCCCAAAATTGTTGCAGGTGCAACCAAGTCAATGAAATAACCAATTGTTAATTCAACTAACTCACTGACCAAAAACAGAGTCCACATTCCAACGCAGTGGGGAGGAAAAGTGGATGCGGACCAATGCGGAGGGGTATATTTTCTTGTTGTTATTAAAAAAACAACTTGTCAAAAACCTATTGAAAAAGTTCTCTCTTTTTTTAAAAAAACACTAGTCTGTGGAAGAATCTGTTTTCCCTGTTTTTGAAACAGTATTCGTGCTTGTCATTTTTTCCTTGAAAGCCAAACAAAGGGAGTTTGAAGACACTGAACAAATGTCAGGACCCCCTCATCTGTGCACATGGTGTGGCCCTAGAGAGGGCTCTCTTTATCCCCGGTCTTTTGCACTAAACCTAACAGCAAAGTGGTGATGGCAGCTCCCAGGCCGGAGCCTGCTGGCCAGAGCAGCTCCTAGCTCCACTGTGGATCAGATCGGGTAGGTCACTGGAAAGAGGCTTAATGCAGAGCCTCACTTGCTTCCTCTGTCCCAGAAGGAAAAGGGCTTGCAGCGTTGCTTAGAAGGTGACATAAGCTCCAGAGTGTGGAGAGCATGGAAAGAGCTACACGAATGCCAGCTATTTTGCTGTGGTTTTTGTGACTGGGCCATAGACCTCCTTTTCAATCTTAAGGCTAAGAACTCTAGAATAATACACATACGTTTGTACATAACATTTTGAATATAGTTTTACAGAAGGTTCATGGACTCCTAGAGATTCCTGGTCCATGTTTAATTTAGGAAGCCCACTAAAAATGCATGCATAAAGACAAAAATTTTTTGTGCACTCTCTGGAAGCAGGCTCTTCTGAGGTGAGAAGCCAGTTGGGATTAATGTACCAAGGGCTCCCCTCCATCTCCATGCCTTGCCGCATTGCTGGGCTTACTTCCACGCACAGCTGATGGGGTCCTCTGTGGCTGAGGTAAGGTCAGTGAGAGGGCTGGAGTGAGCCTCTGAGGATGCTTCAGGATCCCAGTTAGACTGAGGAACCTGGAGCAGAAAGGCTACAGACTCAGTTGATGTCAACACTTTGAGAGCAGCAATAACTGAGCCTCCAAACCCTATCACTCTCAAGTCATGTTCTGGGCTCATTTCCACCACAGGGTTAGTTTCCACCCCTGAGCTGGAACACAAAGACCAGTCTCCTAACATCTAAACATCAGGGAGGGCTGAGAGGGAGTGTGCCGGGTACCTGCTGTGCAGAGGGGTGAAGATACACAGGTGCGAAACAGAGGCCCCTCCTGAAAGTAGGTCAGGGAGCTCAAAAGGAGGGGCTGAGCCCAAGAATTGTTCCCAAGTCAGTGGTTAAGAGCGCAGGATTAGGAGAGCCAACTGTGTTGGACCTGAGCTGCCCCACTTGCCAGGTGGCTGACCCCGAAGTCACTGAGTCACTCAGAGCCTCGTTTTCCTTACCTGTGAGCTGTGAATAATGTCATCCACCTCAGGAGCAAATGTGAGCATCTATGTGGAATACTTAGCACAATGCAGGCTCGAGAGGGGCCTTAAAATGGAAGCTGCTATTATTGTCTGTGCCACCACAGCTGCCCTCACTCTGCTCCTTGCTGCACTCCCCCTGAGGAGCTCAGGGCACTGTAGGGGAAGGGTAGTCCCTGATCTGATCTGATCGTGTTACTCACGGGCTTAAAATCCTTCCCTCCCCCTGGTGCCCTTTACTAGGCCCAGCCCATCAGCAGTGTTGCAGGCCTTCAGAATGAGCTTGTTGCTCAGCACCCCACGCCCTACACCCTTACCTCCACACTCCTTTCCCATCAGTCCTCCTTCCACCCAAAACTAACTGGCTCTCTGAGGATGTGTCTACTTGCAGCGAAGTTCCCCTACCGGCTGCCCAGTGACCCAAACACCCACCTTCAATCTGCACAGGCACCATTGCCTCTGGAAAGCCTTCCCAGACCGGCCTCCTCCAAATCTAAGCCACCCCCAGGGCTGTCAGTGCCTCTCCCTCTCTATTTTTTTTTGTACCAGGGATTGTAGTCAGGACCTTCCACTTTTGAGGTCACCACTGAGCTAAACCCCTATTCCTTTTCCTTTATTGGCCTCTCATTGCTTCTTAGCACAGTGTCTGCTTCAGAGTTGGCCCTTAATTTAGTGGGTTCATAGTGAACCCAATGCACAGAAACAAGAGGACAGAGAAGGCAGCAGAGAGTCTGGCTGTGGCCAGCAGGAAGGTTTCTGTTCAGGGAGCTCTGATAAATGACTGGCAGTGATTCTGGGTAAATTAGTTTCATATCAACTCAACAAAAAAACCTACTCGACTAACATTCCTATTTGAGGAACAAGCAAGGTCACATTGCTAACATTCATATGTACTGTAAGAGTTGGTGGTCCTTAAGTATTTTTATATCTTAGGCATTTTTGGCATTCACACTACTTTTGAGTGCTTTTTTTTTTTTTTTTTTTTTT